GATCAGGCAGTCAGGTGAGCAGTTAGGGGAGATCAGGTCGGCAGGTTTAGTTGTTAGGGGCTATGAGGCAGGCAGGTGAGTGGTTAGGGGTGATCAGGGAGGCAGGTGAGTGGTTAGGGGCGATCAGGCAGGCAGGTAAGCGGTTAAGGGCGACCAGGCAAGCAGGAAGAGGTGTTAGGGGCAATCAGGCAGGCAAGTGAGTGGTTAGGGGCGATCAGGCAGGCAGGCAAGCGGTTAGGAGCCAGCGGTCCAGGATTGCGAAAGGGATGTTCGACTGTCGGTTTAGGCCCGATCCTGGGCCTAAACTGGCAATTGGACATCCCCTAATATGTCCCGGATTGTGAGAGGGTGCAGGCCGGGCTGAGGGACACTCCCTCCCTCTGTGCACAAATTTCATGCACAGGGCCTCTAGTTTAAAATAAAATTTAAAAATAGCATAACCATGATAGAGAAGCATCAACAGCATAGAAAAGACTAGATTCAGTGTAAATCATTAAAATTTTAGGACCTTATAAAATTCTAAAAGCATCAGCATGAATGGCAAAACAACCTAATAAAACATGTTGCTTACTCTCTTAGAATGAAACCATGTGTCTTAAAGAAAAGACAATCTCATTTTCGTCTACTTTTTTCCTTGGGCTTAAACTTCTCCCCCAGCTATTGATGTTTTCCTACACCCCACCCCCTGGCCCCCACCACCCACCCACACCCATTTTTAAATAGAGGTGTGGGAGAAGAAAATATAAATTAAGGTAGAAGAAATCTAACCCTTTGAGATATTTTTCTAATTTTCCCCATTAGTTTGGGGTTCTAGAGAAGAAAAATACCTAATAATTGTACTAACAATAACAATAATGATGGTAATAACATTTATTTAATGTTTACTATGTGCCTGACATTCTTCTAAGCACCTTACATATTTCCACTTAGTCTGTCCTCACAACACTCTTGCAACAAGTACTAATTTTGTCTATTTATTTATTTTTGTTTTGTTTGTTAATCCTCACCCAAGGATATTTTTCATTGTTGTTTTTTATTTTGTTTCATTTTTTATTGTGTGTGTTTTGTTTGTTTTTTTTAGAGAGAGTGGAAGGGAGGGTGGGAAACAGCGAGAGAAAAACATCAGTGTGAGAGAGATACATTGATTGGTTGCCTTCTGCATGCGTCCCGACTAGGGTAGGTATTGAGCCTGCAATGAAGGTACATGCCCTTGACCAGAATCAAACCTGGGACCATTCAGTCCACAGGCCAATGCTCTATATACTAAGCCAAATGGCTGGGGCTTGTTTAGAGATGAGAAAGTTGAAGCAAAGAGATTTCAAATGGCTTGTTTGGGAAAGTCACTAGTAAGCCTGTGCTCTTAACCATATTTTGTTACTTATCTAGACATTTAATTGAGTGAATTAAAAGGTCATTTAATTGGGTGAATGTGAGGAATGGGTATGGTCACAGGTGCTATTGCAAAAAAGGCAAATAAACTTTTCCTTCTGTGCTGGGTGCAAGAATGCTGCCCAATAGCAGTCATATTAATTTGTGTGAGATTATATCCACACCCACTGTTGGTAAAATTATGCAAATACATGTCTTTACAACAGTAGACTACAGTTTCATTTGAGCACTGGCAAATCAGATTGAAACACACCTGAAGGGAGAGCAAACTAAATACTTGGTGAACACATTTTACTTTAGAATTTTACAAACTTTTACATTTCTGCATTTAGGATGGGGAAAATGGGCAAAAATAAAAGTAAATCATCAACATAGGTAAATGTGCTTCATAGTAGCTTTATATTTTTGCCCACTCCATTGGACAACACCTTAAAGCAGCCCATGCTGACTCGGGCCTATTTTTTTCTAACAATTCCACAAAGCCCTGGCCAAGCATCTAATAGATGTTAATTTCCTTCTTCTAGTCCTTCATTAGACTTGGCACTTAGATCAAGGTAATCACTGTGCACACAAATTTTACTAACCGGTAATTACTTCTACCAGGAACAACAGGATGCAAAACTGATTTTTTTTACTGCCATGACATGTTGCCAAGTTCCTGAGTTTTTCTTTGTTATTAAAAAGCTGTTTCTAACATCCTTTGAAAGGGTTTTCTGACTTCCCCAATTGCCCACATTCAGATTTTTTAACTGATAAGAAAGAGTTAGCAAACTGAAAGAATCACCTAAAATGTCCAGGATGGTTATCTGTTAACAACAAATGAAATATTAAGTTTTTGCAATTTGACTACAGCTAGTTTTAACTGATATTATGACTATTTCTGTTTTAGCCATCTGATTTATTGTACATTCATAAATTAAAGCCATATTCCATGAAAACCTACTCTATGCCTGAGAACATACGAAGTACCTACTGAAGGCATCAGATACAGAGCTTACATTTCAATGAAATAGAGTTTTAAGAGTCAAATTGTTACTCTTTTTTGTTGTTGCTGTTTAAAGTATTATATATGTCTCCTTTTTCCCCCATTGACCCCTCCCCGGCCACCTCCACCCCACAGGACAGGCCCGCACTGCCCCATTGTCCCTGTCCATTGGTTATGCTAATATGCATGCATATAAGTCTTTTGGTTGATCTCTTACACCCCCCTCCCGTCCTCCCCTGCCTTCCCTCTGAGGTTTGACAGTCCGTTCGGTGTTTCTCTGTCTCTGGATCTATTTTTGTTCATCAGTTTATGTTGTTCATTATATTCCACAAATGAGTGACATCATGTGATATTATCTTTCTCTGACTGGCTTATTTCGCTTAGTATATGCTCTA